GGGTCTTGGAGATGTCTCATCCATAGGGTCACCATGGGTTGAGATCGATTCGAGGGCAGTTAACAACAAACATATTCATATTAGATGAAAAAGAGGATGTCTTAAGTAGAAGATGTATTATGCATAGCAAAATGAGTCTAGCAGGGTTTTGGGGTTTTTATATATGTATGATGATTTTCAGTTTTTGAGATGTCCGATCTTAATGTACTGCTACATTAAATTTTGATGTTAGGTATAGATAGTTCTTCAAGAGTTTACACACATAACTAGTTCCCCCACTGAGAAAAAATTACTTTGAAACCAAAGGAGTGAATAGGAAAGGGTAGAGGTAGACACTTCCAATGAATATATCACCCCAGGCCTTGATTCTTAAACAGTGTCTGGTATGAGGCAGATGGAGCTTTGCTTTAGGCCAGTTCCAGTCTTAATGCAAAAAAATCTTGCAGGTTTTTATAGATGCAGGTAGTTCTGTAATGTCCCAAATTAGGCTCAGAAAGCTTTACTATTGGGCCATCTACAATGGGAATGGGCAACTTGTGGCCCTCTAGTAGAGTTACCAGAGTGAAAACTGGAGAGGACTCATGCCTTTGCAAAGAAAAAGGAATTTCAGCAGGTATTGCTTGTCATGCAACCAGATAAGAAACAGCACCAGCTGACATTCCCTTTTCTGTAACATACAGGAACTCTCTAGCAACTCTACTTTCCAGATTGCAACTCCCATCAGATCTAGCTGACTAGCCAGCAGCATAGCCAGTGGGGAGGGATGACTACTGCTATAATTCCCACTCAACAAAGTGAAAAATTGGCAAGGCAAGGTTGATACTCAGAAATAATTTATTACTGGACAGACCTAGAAGAGAAGCTGACAACTCCAAGTGGAAACCATCCAGATGTATCATCAATGACCTATACTTAATAGACAATGAGCCTTCTATTTCACCTGGATAATAGATCTGGGCTTGCTTACAATCATCCTTGTAGCATTCAAGAACTACTCTCTAGCAAAGACAGACACAAAACAATGATACAAATACAGTGCTACAAAGCAACAACAAAAAACACATCCCAGGTACCTACTCGATCTCTACATCTACTCTGGCAACACCAGTACAGAACCTAACAATATAACCCACAATATTAGGATTTCATTTAATTGACCCATTTCAGTGTGAAACATACTATCTTCTGACAGAAATGCTTTCCTGCATTCTACATAGGGTGGAGAAGTCAACCTCTATGTGAAAGAATATTGCACATCTATTTAACATGAGAAAGTCTTACAAGGGGAAATTATACAAATGTTGGCTTATCAACTTTCTATTGATTCAATGAGTTTTCCCTAGTTGGCCTCTGTGACCTTGTAACAACCACTGTGGGGTGAGAAAATTTAGTGGGAGATTAAAGTGAGAGACTGCTGTGTGACAATTCATTAGGAAGGCCCAGTTTATCACTAGAGGTTTAAAGTGGGATCATGTCTTCATTAGCTTACTTAGTACAAAGGTATCTGCATTATCAGAAGAAATTTGGCAAGCAGCCAGTATCAATGTAACGGGCACCATTCTTTCTGCATTATTGATTGATGCTTCTATGCCATCTTTCTCCCAGAAAGGGACCCAAGGCAACTCACAAATAAAACCATTTACAACTTTTACAAAAAGAATTAAAAAAAGAAACCAATTAAAATCTACTAACTAAAAACAGTATAAAATTCCATAAACATTGTCCACAGTTCCACTCCACACATACTATAAAATACCACCAACATCTCCTATCTTCCAACATTTCACATATGAAGACTGGGACATGTGTGGCCAAGCAACATTAGAGTGTCGTAAAGATGGCAAAAGTTATTAAGGAGGGAAAGCACACAGCCTAGGCAAGGCTGCAGCAGTTTGCTTTTGCTTAAACCTTCTGGGAAAGGAAAGACTCTACCTCCTCCTCTCCTCCCTGCTGAGTTAATGGGGTGTAAAATACTTTTACACTTTGAATTCATTTTACAGCAAGTGAAGTACAGTGAGGACAAAGGGGAGAAGTAGGAAGAGGAGAAAGAAACTGGGACATTTAAAAATGAGCTGAAAAAGTGGGGTAACAGAGGATTAATTGGGACTATCCCTACTAAATTGGGACAGTTGAAGAGTATACACAGATGAAAAACAGGACATTTGCGGGTAAGCAACATCAGAGTGGGTTCAAGCTAGGAGATACTGCAACAATTGGCTTTTGCCTGAACCTACTGGAGATTCCATTTCTCCTCTCCTATTCCTCTGCAGTGTGAGTACTTCTGTACTTTGAATTCAGCTTGCAGCAACTGGAGTAAACTGAGGATGAAAGAGGAAAGTGAGAGGGGAGAAACTGAGGCATTTTAAAAGCCTATGGAAATGTGGGTTGACAGAGAATTAACCAGGACAGTTTTTGCCAAATCTGGACACTTGAAGGGTATATTGTATACATGAAATTCTAGGTGGTACTTTATGCAGTTGAAGCACATGCTGTAATAAATGTATTAGCCTTTATGGATATTGAGGACTTTTTGTTATTTTATTATTCTTGGGGCAATATTCTTTTAACATAATGTATGTGGCAACAACATTACAAGGTGCCTACTTATTTGGACAAGCTCAAAGTCTGAATCAGTACTCCTTCCTCAAAGGTTACCATTTTCATGTTACTTTTATTCTTTGCACATTTGTACATTCTTGTGGCCAGTCCTGTCTTATAAAATAACTTAAAGAAAATCATTGCCTGCAACAACAAAGATCTCCATCCAGATGGCCTCTTGCATGATAACTGGTTTGTTCTCTTCTGACGCATTAAATGAATTTTTGAGTAGGAAGTGAAACCAATCCTATTGCCTGTATGCCCAGTATTCATCCTTGACATCCTATGTTCAGTATTCCTGTATAAGAGGTCTGTATGCATACAGCTTTATGCACAGGGATAAATACAGGCCCTGATGTAATGAAAGAACTTCACACACACATCATTGTATACAGTGTGTGGATTATGGGAGATGGAACTCTGTTCTTTGCACATGATCAGTTTACATGTTTGCATGTGTGAGTGAGGGCAACTGCTTTACATGTATACCCAAGCTATTTTGGGTCAAGGTGCACACTTGGAGTTCTGCACTTTCTGCTTGACTTGCACACTACACAATTATAGCACTAAGATTCTACTTGAAGTGCCATGGTTCTGTCCTATGGAGTCCTGGGATTTGTAGACTTATGTACTTCTAGAGCCCTCTGGCTAAAAATTCTAAATGTCCCTAAATTCCAGATCATAGTATTCCTTAGGATGTTTGCATGACATAGCACTATGATTGTTTAGTGTGAAAAGGTTCAGTATCAATTGTTTAGATATTGACAGCATGACAAAGGTAAATAAATTGTGGGTTAATCCTCATCCTGAATAACACTTGTTGTGAAAATCAGAGATTAGTTCACTTGGCTTTGGAAGATGCAAATCAGAACAGAGTAAATATCAGCATTTGTCAAGTAACCACTGGTATTAGAATTATTTTCTAATCTGTTAGGACAATAAATACAAATAATTTTTTGTTGAGCTGAAGAAGTGCAAGTTATTTTGTTTTTGTAGCACTGTGATAAATGGTGTAGTGGAGCCTGGGATCAAAGGGTTGAACCACCCAAGATTTCTTGATCAACAGGGGTAATGAAATTATTCTGTCTTTCTTTTTTCTCTGAGTTAAGCTGCATCACAATCAGCAGGGTAGTGATGTTCGGCTAATAAGTTTTCTCAACAAAAATACATTTTTGGATGGCTTAGGCTGGAACAGACAATGAAGATCTAGTAGCTGTACAAATGACCTGCTCCTGATGGAGATGAAGATAGCCTGAAGTGGTTTGTTGATATGCATTGACACAGCAGTCTGCAATTTTGAACTCACTTTGCAGGCATAGTTATGGGGACTGGATGAGTGCACTTGAAAACTTACCACTACACCAGAGGATTGTGAAATGATGGATGTGACAATGATTCTTCTATACAACCACTCAACACAAAAGGCCAGCTATTCCTTTACATATGTGACCTTTTTCACATTGAAAAAATCATACATGTTACAGGGATAATCTATTCCATGTGGACAAGCAAGGATTTCAAACAGTTAAAATATGAATGGTATTTTACATACCAACCTGACAAGAATCTGTCTACTTGTCTATCATAAGTATCAGCTATAGCTCAGATTCTGAAAATCATCAACAAGATGGGAAGCTGTTTCACTGTGGCTAGCATGAAATCTTGTTAATGAAAAAGTCACACCTCAAGATATGTAATATTACACTCTGCATCATCATCACCAAGGGGAAGAATTTTTGGAAGAAGATAACCTTATCATCTGATTCCAATCCCTTGTACATCTGCAGTTGCAATGATAAAAGTTATACATCATGTCATATAGTAAATAACCTTAGAATGTCAGATTATGGATTGAGATACACAGTGCAGTAAAGATTCCAATCTACAATGTAGAGGTGCAGCCTATACATCTAAATGTCAACCTGTGGGCCACATAAAATCATATCATGTATTTGATCAAAGAAAATAAA